AGAACTCATCTACCAAAACAAAGTGATAATTGCAATGTGCTGCTCTTCTTTGTTAGATGATTTTCAGGAACCCATCTGTGCAGATTGTTTCTTTATTATTATCATTACATCAACTAATTACATTAGGGAAAAGAGGGCATTTTAATTAAAAGACTTTTAAGGAGTTATAATTCTACTCTTTCATTAAATAAGCAGGTGCTAAATTTATTTTTTTGAAAATTGTTCTTTGAAAATTATTTGTATTAATCACATTTTCAACAAAATAGATTTTTCCTTTTTATTTTTTCTAATAGGTGGGTCCTTTTTATTTCTCCATTTTGACCAAAGAACCACAAGGCAGGGCTACATGTAAATAAACATTCCAAACATTTTGAGAGGCTCACTTTTTTTTCCTAAAAAGGGGAAAACTATTTCATTTTACAAAGCATACATATTTATTTCTATATGATGAATTTGATTAGGGTAATCTTTTTGAAAATAGGCATTTTTAGAACATGGTTAGTTGCTGAGGGATGTTGGAGGAGGCAGCAAGATTGACAGCGATTTTCAAAGGAAAGTATAAAATTCATATTGTAATTAAAAGATATTGCTTCTGTTTACACCCATTGTCCTATGGATGAAACCTCATCCACATAAGGGAATGTCATCCAATAACTCATGTTATATAGGTAGATAAACATCCATTCTTTGGATGTTTCGAATGCATCTTCCATTTTGTTAACACTCTCTTATTCTTCTATATGTTCTAAATACACAGAATTCATACAGGTATTTGTATCTACGCATCATATAATGATGAAGACAATGAATTTAGAATGGGACATAGATTTAAAAAAGAAACACTACCAGAGGCACATCAACAAATGGTTAGAAGCCAAGAAAGAAGTCTAAGCACCTGGTACAGGAAATGATGGAAAGCCAGAGTTTATAAACCATGATGCTACTTTCAGTATTCACATAGCACTCTAGATTTCTTCCCTCTGATCGAAATATTGAACCACTTTTTTTCCCAAAGCTGAATGTGAAAAGCATTATAGGAACAACTTTAGTATTAAAAAATGCCAAAGTCAAACTGCATCTCATGCAATTGCAGGCTGAATGCATACTATTATTTTAATCATTATAGTCATCAATGAAACAAAGTCTGCTACATAATAGACATAGAGTCAATCTATACTGAATGAATGAATGAAGACAACATTTAACTTAAATTCTTAAGCAGGAGATAGCAGTTCCTAGTAGCAGCAGTTATTTTCATAGTTCTACAATATTATTCCCCAGGGAAGCTGGCAAACTGAAATCTGTTACATTAATGCCAGCAGGGATGTGTATGTGTGAAGAGAATAAGTAAACATATATTTTACCTGATGGCTCAAGGGACTATCCACATGAGCTCCTAAGAGACCGAAATTAACTTACTTGGCAGCATTTATGCTTAGGGTGAACTTAAATTCTATTTATGTACTTTATCCTTCATAAATTTGTATTTTTAAATCAGTTGAGCTTTTTCAACTTAAAACTGCAGGACTAATTTGTAACTAAATAGCTCCTTTCCTTTGGTAATGACTTCATCTCTTAAAATTTTGATTGAAATTTAGATGTTGTTAGCTTTTCAGTCTAAATTAGTTTCGAATAACTTCTAAGAACAGATTGAATAGTCAGCACATTAAAAAACAATGTTCTTTCTATGTTAGCCTAAATAACAACGACGCCTGCTATTTATTGAGGTTGTAATACATGCCAGTTCCTTTTTTGCTGTTTTAAATATTAATACATAGATGCTTTTACCCTATTATGGAGAAAAGGAAAGCAAAATAAAGCTAAGGGAGGTAAAATGCTTTGCACAAAGTCACACAGATCGTAGATTTTTGAACAACTTAAATCCAACATCCAGGCTATTTCTGTTATGATAGGTAAGTCCCCCCAATATACATTTAACTTGCACAAAATCTTGAGAAGTAAGTCTAAGGCAAGGGTAGCTTTCTTTCCTTTGTTCAACTAAAGTTGTTATTGATCAGTCTTTCTTTATATAAATAATTTTGTTAGAATAATAGAAATTTACAGCTAGGAAAAATTTAGAGATAACCTAATTCAGTAATTATTAGACATTTTGGTTATTCTCTCACTTTACATTTTTAATATTTTCTGAGGTTATCTAAAAGCACTTTATTGTGTTATATGTATTGATACTTACCATATTAGTAATAATAAAAATCATAACATTTAAAGGACTTGTTCATTTAATAATTGCAATAGCAACCCCATTATCTACTCAAATAAATAGTATTTATTTATTTGTTTTTACTGGATCTTTATTGTATTTTTTCCATTACCATTTAGTCCCTTATATAACCCTCTCCCCCCAGCAATCACTGGACTGTTTTTCATGCCGTATTATTTCATGCCTACATTGTCACATATGTATGTGTGTACATATATGTATATATATGTATGGCATTGTTTTACATTCTGATAAGTCTCTTTAATATTTGGTTTTAATGGGAGTCAGCTGGATTTCCCTATCTGCTTTCCTGTGCCATCTGCTATAACATCACGTATGTTCTGTAACCTATAAAACACTCCAATGCCCATGTGAGAGAATAAAAGTGAAAAAGCCAAATACTCTCTTATGAAGAAGATGATGATGATGATGAAAATGGTAGGACTCCCAAAAGGGTGCAGGGATCTGTGGACCACACTCTGAGAACTGCTGATCTAGATAAGACTCTAATTTAATAGACATGGAACTAAAGAGTCCTGTGGATCAGTCAGTTTTTATACGTAGTTTGGAAGATTTTATAAGCCCAATGTTAAACTCTACTACAATTAAGCAGGTGCTATATGTTCAGATGCTTATTTTCACCTTTGTATGTCTCATTCTTGTTATATATGAGTATATTAGATACATAATGTAATCTATGCTATTATGTACATATTAATTCTTTAGACTGAATTGTATTGTTTAATGGGTATATTTAATATCAATTAATTATATAATATTTATTTTACTATATTAGTAAATATTTAGATTTGCAAAACAAAATTACCCCAAAATATTATACTTTATAATTTATGCCACCATTACTTGTAGAATTTTAAATTGAGATAATATTTTAAACACAAAATATAGTAGATAATTGTAAATTTATATATTTTTAAAATTGTTTATTTGAGACTGAAAATTAGTTATGTTAATTTTATTGTTTACTACATTACACTATATTAAAGTATATATAGCATGATATGTGTAAGGGAGATAGAGAGTTCCAGATTAGTTTTTTACAAATATTTTCCTTTATTACTATTTGTCATACTAATGTTTATGAAAGTAGTTTTTCAGGGAAGATAGAAATGGTGAAATAGAAATATAGAGATGAAATGGAAAAAGAGGTAGATAAGAAGAAGAGTAGGGAGAAGAGAAAAGGAAATTGCTTATTTGGTCCAAGCCAGAATAGAATCTCATGATCCTTTTTTTCTTATCACACTTTTATATATCAGGTCTTTTATATCAGTTCTGAAAGGGGTTTTATTACTTGAAGTTTGTATAAAGGAATACAGTCAATGGTTTGTCTCTGTTATTTTAAAATGCATGACATTTCTATGACCTATTGAATATATATGTATTAGTTTTATTTACTTTTGAAAAAAATCAGGAGCTACTTTTTTTAGGAAAATGTTTGCTTTACCAATGTCTACGGTTATACTTATTTCTGTAAGTTAATATTATACCTAGAAAACAGTATTAAAATAGTTTTATTTCTTAAAGTAATTTTATTATTGTTTAGGCTATTTAGAGTCTTTTATTATTTTATTAAGGGAAATTATTTCACATTTGCATATGTACCAAATCACTATACTATTACTTGTAAACAAAACCCCAAAAGAAGTAACCAGAGTTCCTAACAATAGTAATTATATAAATTATGTCATCTATAAAACAAGACAGAGTAGAACAATAATCATTGACTTACAGCTACCTATAAGACATTGTCATGAAACGACTACTAATATAAAATACAAAACAAAATAAACCTCTATGTGTGAATGTGAAAATGCACAAAAAGTATACAGAAGATTCATATTTTAAGCCATTAGTAGTGCAGATCCTTGAGAGTGGTATCAGGGTATAGAGGGAGACTCTTGGACCCTATATTTGTTTATATATTTAAATAATTTTATTAACTAGTAATCATCTGTGTCTTTTATAATTTGAAAATACCTATATATAATATAAAATTTCAAAAGAGATTATTTTAAAAAGAAGGACTGAGTGGAGGTGGAAGAAGGTACAAGATAAACGGTAATAAAAATACCACAAAAAATAAGCTATAAAAAATAAAAACAAAGAAAAAATAGGAAAAATCCCTAGGTAGCTAGAGTTCTGAAATTTAATGGTTACATTATACAATGCACATATGAGGTCTGTCCAGAAAAAGTCCAACCACTGTTAATATGTTTACGTGACATCGATGTAACCTGGCAGCCAAGGAGAGCGGACTGGAATATGCATGCATGAACACTGATGACTTCACTCTACTAGTCAGTGGGAGTGATAGACACTACTGAGTGAGCATGTATTTCTGTAGCCATAGCATTAAAAATGACTGAGAGTAGAGAAATGAATCTGCACCCATTTTGCATTTAACTTGAACATTTTTCCATGGAAACTTTGGATGATTCAGAAGGCCGCAGCTCTGGGCAACTGGTGATTGGCAGCTTCATCAGACAATGTGCATGCTGATGAATCATGTCTTGTGCAGATTTTTTTTCAAAACAAACATCAAATCACCCAGGTGACTCAGCCTCCCTACAGCCCAGATTTGGCACCCTGCAACTTTTGGCTTTTCCCAAAATTAAAATCAGCTTTGAAAGGAAAGCGATTTCAGCTGTTGATTACATTCAGGAAAATATGATGGGGCACCTGATGGCAATTGGGAGAACTGTGTGAGGTCCCAAGGTGCTTACATTATTGATTGATGGGTTGATTGATTGATTTTTGCACAGGCACCAGGACCAATGATCACTAGCTGCCCAGGTACCAAAAAATTATGCTTCTAAAATCTTTTGTTGTCAATTCCACATGTAGAGCAATCAAGCTGCCCCATGTGTTCCACTCACGACAGAAGCCCCAAGGTGTCTACATTAAATGGGACTGAGGTTTCCTTCTTCTATGTACAATGTTTCTTGTATCTTGTATCTTCTTCAATAAATGTTTCTGTTTTTCATATTACATGGCTAGATACCTTCTGGACAGACCTCATATACATATTCAAGAAAAGCAAGCATTGTAGTGAGTATATTTTGTGATTCCATGATCCACTCCAATTTTTCTCTGATAGTATGTTCTGTACCTTTTTACTAAAGGCCTCATCCGTTTGCAAGAGCTCATCAAAGCTCCATCAAGGTACAACCTTCGACTTAAAATTCGTCAACTACCTGCTGATACAAAGGATGCAAAACCCTTACTAAAAGAAATGAAAAGAGGCAAGGAGTTCCATGTAATCTTTGACTGTAGCCATGAAATGGCAGCAGGCATTTTGAAACAGGTAAGCTTTAAATTATTTAAATTCTTAGTTTTTTAAAAAATTTGTATTTAAAGTATGGCGTTTTGGTTTTCAAATCAGTGTTATTGTTTTACAGTCAGTTAAAAAACAAGCCTTAGAATTTACCTAGATGTGATTTTCTGATAAAAAGTTTTGACAATTGCTTTTAATTAATTTTCTCACAAGAAAAGGAATGTAAATATTGATGATCTTCAAACACCTTGTTTGTGGTTTGTAGGTTATTTTAGGCACCTACAATACTGCTTAATAGTGTGAATATTGACTAATGAGATAGAAGTTTCTATTTTGTACTGAAATGAAGGAAGAAACTAAGGCTCAACAGTTGAGCAGCTCAACCATTATAATGAACTAGTAGGAAAAGGAGGAAAAAAAGGAATTGATATTTAGCTGGCATTTACTGTGAGATGCCTTACACATTTGATCTTATTTAATCCTCACCACAGCAAAAAGAAGTAGGGTTTATCTCCACTTTAGAGACAAAGAGAAAAGTTAAGTAACTTAACTAATGGCCAACAGCAAGGAAATAGCAGAGTCATGCATGTGCCGTCGAATGATATTATGAAATGAAATGGAAAGCAACAAATGAACACATAAGAAAACAAATAAACAAAAACTCATAGACACAGACAGCAGTGTGGTGGTTACCAGAGGGCAGGGGTATGGGAGGGTAATAAAGGGCAAAAGGGAAAGGGTAAAAAGAGGGTATTAAAATATATGGTGACTGAAGAAGATTTGACTTTGAGTGGTAAACACAATGCAGTATATGAATGATATATTATAGCATTGTAAACTTGAAACCTATATAATTTTGTTAACCAATGTCACCCCAATGAATTTAATAAAATATGTCTTCGATGATAAATATTGCCTACTTAAAAAGATAACACAAATCAGTAAAAAGAAATAATGTATAGCAGTAAGATCTCTTCATATTATTTTAGCACTCTTCAGACCAATAGCATCCTTGGAAACAGCCATTATTATTGACTCATATCATACAGATGAGGGAACTGATATCAGGGTTTAATTAATTGATACAAAGCCATATGCTAACAAAGTAAGAAAGCCTGGATTTTTTCCCCCGGGATAAAGATAGCATTTTATTTTTGATTCTTTAAGTATATTTTATTGATTATGCTATTACAGTTGTCCCATTTTTCTCCCCTTTGGTCCTGTCTGCCCCACATCCCCTTTCACCAGCATCCCCCCACCCCACTTAATTAATGTCCATGGGTTGTACATGCAAGTTCTTTGGCTTCTCCATTTCATATACTGTTCTTAACCTCTCCCTGTCTGTTTTGTACCTACAAATTATGTTTCTTAAGCCCTGTACCTTTTCCCCCATTCTCCCTCACTGTCCCCTTCCCCCATAATGCTCCATGGGATCTCCATTTCTGTGATTCTGCTCCTGTTCTAGTTGCTTGCTTAGTCTGTTTTTGTTTTTTTTTTTATTAAATTGTTGATAGTTGTGAGTTTGTTGTCATTTTACTGTTCATATTTTTGATATTCTTCTTTTTCTTAGATAAGTCTTTTTAACAATTTATATAATAAGGGCTTGGTGATGATGAACTCCTTTAACTTGACCTTATCTGGGAAGCACGTTATCTGCTCTTCCATTCTAAATGATAGCTTTGCTGGACAGAGTAATTTTGGATGTAGGTTCTTGCTTTGTATGACTTCAAATACTTCTTTCTAGCCCCTTCTTGCCTGCAAGGTTTCTTTTGAGAAATCAGCTGACAGTTTTATGGGAAATCCTGTATAGGTAACTCTCTCCTTTCCTCTTGCTGCTTTTAAGATTCTCTCCTTGTCTTTAATCTTGGGTAATATAATTATGATGTGCCTTGGTGTGTGCTTCCTTGGGTCCAACTTCTTTGGGACTTCCTTGGGCCCAATTTCTTTGGGACCCTCTCAGCTTCCTGGACTTCCTGGAAGTCTGTTTTCTTTGCCAGATTAAGGAAGTTTTCCTTTGTTATTTTTACAGATAAGTTTTCCATTTCTTGCTCTTTTTCTTCTCCTTCTGACACCCCTATGATTCAGATGTTGGAACAATTTAAAGTTGTCCTAGAGGCTCCTAAGCCTTTCCTCATTTTTTAAAATTCCTGTTTCTTCATTCTGTTCCAGTTGAATGTTTATTTCTTCCTTCTGTTCCAGATCTTTGATTTGAGTTCCCGTCCCCTTCCCTTCACTGTTGGTTCCCCTGTATATTTTTTTATTTCACTTTGAATAAGCTTCATTTCTTCTTTTGTTTTGTGTCCATACTGAATTATTTCTCTGAGCATCCTGATTGCCAGTACTTTGAACTCTGCATCCAATAAGGTGGCTATCTCTTCATCACTTAGTTCTAGTGTTGGAATTTGACCTATTCTTTCATTTGGGTCATAGTTTTTGTTTTGGTGCACCTATTATATAGTAAGGGGTGGAGGCTCAAGTATTTGCCAGGGTGGGGCAACCCGCTTAGCTGCATTCTGGCACTGTATGTGGGATAGAGGTGCAGGAAGGAACAGTGCTGCTTGTTCAGCTCTTACCTCTCTTTTAGTCACTTCTCTCTACCTGCAATAAATTGTGCACTTTTTGTGCTGATTCCTAGGTAGGTGATCTTGTGTACATTCTAGGACCCTGTGAGTCTCTCCAATGAACTCTCCTGTGAGGCTGGTAGTTTCTTCTGCTGCCACAACCCCCACAGGTTTTTATATCCAGAGGTTTTGAGGCTTTATTTCCCTGCACTGGAACCCTGGGTTGCACAATTTGTATTGCTCCCCAGTTTTTCCTCCTGGCTTATTCGCATGTATGTGTGGGACTGCTCCCTACACCAGCTGCCATTTAGCCCATGCCAGTTCTCCAGCCACTGCCTTGCCAGCTATCCTCTTCACCCCAGCTGCCTATCTCCTCCCCTCCTACCAGTCTGGATGAATATTTCTTCTTTAATTCCTTGGTTGTTGGACTTCTATACAGTTTGATTTTCTGGCAGTTCTGGTTGTTTTTGTTTGTTTGTTTGTTTTGTTTCTAAATTTGTTGTTGTCCTCCTTTTGGTTGTGTGAGGAAACAAAGCTTACCTACCTATGACTCCATCTTGGCCGGAAGTCTAAAGTGTGGACTTGAACTCTAGTGTATGGACTTTGTTTTTAAAAATCTTATGTACATTGCCTAACACCACAGTGGTTTAGGATTATTCATCTATGTTGCAGTCTTTCATCTGCTGGATAAAATTTCACTACTGGAGAATGTATGCAGATTCAGATGTCAAATTATATCCCATAAAATATAACTACCAACAGTAAATGCCTGTTATAACATGGTTATTGTATTAAACAGAGGCCCGTTCAGTCTTCCAATATGAATGTTTGTTTTCCTACAGTAAAATATTTAATTGGATTTGGAAATTGCTGTAGTGTTATATTTGGGTAATAAAGCCTGTGAGGATTTTTGTTTTTTGTATTGAACAAAATGATGCAATATAGTAAGCACTGAAATCCAGAGCAGGGATTTGTTTTTCATTTAATGCCAAAACAATTCTCTTTTTAAAAATTTTATTTAGTTGTTTTTCAAGTACAGTTTTTTTGTCTATTTCTCCCATCCTAGCCCCCCTCCGCCCCATGCTCCCCACCTCCCTCCTATTTCCAACCCCCTTAGTTCTTGTCCCTGTGTCCTTCCTATTTGTTCCTCCAAATCCCTCCCCTTTTTTCCCCTTAAATCCCCTTCCCTCTCTCCTCTGGTCACTGTCCCCTTGTTCTCTATTTCAGTGTCTTTGTTTTTATTCTGCTTGCTTGTTTGTTTTGTTGTTTAGCTTCATGTTAAAGGTGAGATCATATGGTATTTGTCTTTCAACATCTGGCCTATTTCACTCAGCATAATACTTTCCAGTTCCATCCAAGGTGTTGCAAAGGGTAGTAGCTCCTTCTTTCTCTCAGCTGCATAGAATTCCATTGTGTATACATACCACAATTTTTTGATTCATTCATTTACTGATGGGCACCTAGGTTGCTTCCAACTCTTGGCTATTGTAAATTGTGCTGCTATGAACGTTGTGGTGCATAGGTTCTTTGAAATTGATGTTTTAGGATTTTTAGGATATAATCCCAGCAGTGGAATTGCTGGGTCAAAAGGCAGGTCTATTTTTTTTTTTCTGAGAAAATTCCATACTGTTTTCCACAGTGGTTGTACCAGTCTGCAATCCCACCAACAGTGAACTAAGGACCCCTTTTCCCCACAATCTCTCCAACATTTGTTGTTTGTTGCTTTGTTTATGATAGCTATCCTGACTGGTGTAAAGTGGTATCTCATTGTGGTTTTAATTTGCATCTCTCTGATAGCTAACAATATTGAGCATCTCTTCATGTTTCTCTGCCAAAACAATTCTTTATCACATTAAGAATACACAGACTTAGAAAGGAGACCCTTTCTTTATGGTATTAAAGAGCCTATGGTGAGTTAGCACTCAGCTATTTGTCAGTGACAGTTTTGGTGGGCTTTGTCTAGGCTTCCAGCTGGTATATAAATGATCGGTTCTCTTGTCCCTAGAATAACTAACTGGCTTATTTTGCTATTGAAAGGTGAGAGGACCCATCATCTTTAATCAAATTTTCATTCTGCCTTCCCTTTGATTCTTTCACTACTTTATACTTGTTTTCTTATGTAAATTCTGTCCTAGACATATTAAGAAATATTTATTCCAAAATAAACCTAGGTTAGGATACATACAGGAAAACAGAATTATTATAGTGTTTAAAAATATATACAACATAAAAAGATGCATAATTTTAACAAGATTAGTAAATGAAAAATCAGAGCAGTGGTAAAATGAGAATTAAAATTAAGAAGTCAGAGTAACATTATTGCACAGAATGTATCCTTTTAGATCTTATAGTAATGGCAGACTACACATATATAATATTATTTTTTAACTTTACTTATCCAAGATTTATCTCATGTTTGGATCTCAGTTACTCTAGAAACTCATTCAAGAAGAAAGCAAATGTCCTCGTTCTTGTAAATGCAGCAGTAAATTTAATAGGATTCTATTTTATGTTTATGAAAATTTTCAGAGATTCTTCAGTATTCACTAACGATTATGAGGAAATCATTATAAGGAAATGGTATATGATTTTGAGAGCAGGCATAGATGGGCTTAATTCAATATTTTACGTATCCAGAAAAAAAGGATAAATTTATCAGTTTAATTTTTTTTAACTTTTTTCTTTAAATTAACTGAGATTTTAGTAAATACTAAACAACAGTGAATTTGAAGTTTCTTGTCTGAAAGCTTTGAAAATTGTTGGAGCTTGGGGCTAGCTAGATTTTCTCTGAGGCAAAAATTCCATCTCTACCCATCTCTTCTTAAGATAAAATATACATCATTATTCTAAATATCATCAGCAACTACACTCTTCATTGATAAACAGCTATATCAAAAACATTTTCTATTTTCAGAGGGCGAATTGACACTTCTAATGACTAGCAGTTCTAATCCAAAAGTCTTTAAGATTAATGGCCTAATATCAGAAAAGGAAGTGTGAAATAAAACATAGTGAATTTCAATTGGTATATTAATAAAAATAAAAATACATTTCTTTATCTGTAATTTTTGAATAACAGCAATTTACATCTGCTGCTTTAATGTGAGGGAAGGAAACGTCTCTAAAATGTTGGAAAAAAATCCTATTGTTATTATACTTTGCAGCACATTTTCCCTAACTGAGTAATACCGTTCATCAAAATAAACTGGTGTTCCTCATCAGGGTGTTTGTGGTGGACGCATCAGAAATGTAATGAACTAAGATGTGCTACCTCAGGTGTATGTGAAATGAAATGTCTTTAATATCCAATGCAATATGCTTTGCAATTGCAAACATTCAACTAATAGCTTTTCTATCAAGAGAATTAGTTCTGAAATTCCTTCAGGAAACACTAATCTTCTTTAACTATGGAGAAAAGACTTAGTTTGACCCATTTTGATGTGACTTTGATGTTATAGGCTGGTTCTTTATTACAACCCTCTGTTTTGTTCTCACTTGTTTTATTGACATAACTTATTTCATATAATGTGTACCTTCAATATCAATATATTTATATAATTTTTATTTTCTACTTTTCAGGCATTAGCTATGGGAATGATGACAGAATATTATCATTATATCTTTACCACTTTGGTAAGTAATTTATAGAATGTAAATATAATGTTCTAAATTTTATTATCTAGCTTTCCATAATTGGAAATAAGTTTTGAGTGAGAAAAAATAGTATAATGACTGGCCCTTTTGTAGTTATATTATGTATTATTCTAATAAAACCCAGGAGGAATTATCATCACAGAGAACTAAAAATTCTTGGTGGGAAACTGGTAATTTTGAAATATTATCATTTCTGATATTAAATTCAAAATATTATCTTATTTTTATATTACTATAGAGAAATAATCGATTTTAAAATTAGGTTGCTTGAGAAATGAATGTTTTAGAAAGGCACAAATTCTTATGTTGTTAGCTCTGTTCACCTTACAAAAATCCCATTTATTGAAGCTGCTCTTTTAGAAGATTAAATTTACTATCTTGCTTTTGCCTGTGTTTGGTCGGATTTTTAAAAAGTCAATGTTATTTGATTTACAATTGGCAAATTGAATGTTACCCTTATCGTTTGTCTTTATATGCCCACCACACAGTTTTTCTTACTATGCATGAAAATTTAACTTTACTGTTTTACCAGTCCCATTTACTTTTAGCTCTATTTATCATTTCATATCCTGATTTTTCTTTAGGAAAAAAATAATATTCGACTAAGTAAACTTAAAAGTTTCACTGGCTTCCCTGGCTGGCGTAGCTCAGTGGATTAAGGGTGGCTGTGAACCAAACTGTCACTGGTTTGATTCCCAGTCAGGGCACGTGCCTGTGTTGCAGCCCAGTCCCCACTTGGGTGCACACAAGAGGCAACCACACATTGATGTTTCTTTCCTTCCCTCCTCTCTCTCTAAATATAAAAATTTCATTGGCTTTATTGAACAATTTCTGAATGGAGCAGCATCCCATCTACCTAGTAGAGTGGAGCTCTGAGGAGCTACCCAAAAGGCATTTGAGGCAGAGAGGGGGTGGGAAAAAAAGACATAACTGAAGAAAGGCATTATTTCAGGCAAGGTTACCCCCATCCCAGGACAAAAGGGTACATTTAGGCAGATTACTTCACTGGTGCTGACCAGGAAGTTACAGACAGACCAGTTAAGATGACATTCCTGGGGAAGGTTGAAACTGCATTAGGTTAGGTACTGAGTCCTCGTTTGGTAACATGGGCTTTGTGAAAGTGACTCCACTGGGGCCTTTTTCTTTTAAACACCTTCCTCTGTGAAACAGCTGTGTGTCTCCAACTCTGCTGTGCTCTCAGGGGATTTTTGTGGCCTGTAAGAAACTTCGGGATAGCTAGGGAGAGAGGGAATGTATGCCTTCATTCATCAGCAAATTATATGTTAATTCTGCTGAAACTCATTTCTCCCCTAATCATAAGATTTTAGGAAAGCAAAAGTATCAGTAAGAAAAAAATGAAGAATCTAGTTTAGGACATACAGAACTTGGCCTATAATTGAAAGCCTTTTTTAGTTTGATTTTAACCAAATTTTTCTAGTTGTTTCATTTATTTGTTTGTTTGCTGTTATTCCCTTTCATGAATTATTTTTTTGTAAATTCCTTCTGCTTTATAAAGTTGTTTCTGACTATAAAAATTGTAAGTCATCTGTTTTGTTTCCGACTTGCAGATTTCTACTCTTTTACCCCTTAGCATATACTTCAATACATTATGTGTATATATCCCCTTGGCTTGATAGCAAACATTGAAAAACAAAGACCTAAAGATCCGTTATTTTTTTTTTACAACACAGGACAACTCATGCCAATGTCAGTTGCTCTTCACTGCCTTTTATTCCTATTATCTAGCCTGTATCATTGTATGGGTCCAAGACAAGCTGTGCATAAGACCAATGGCATTAATCCTGCCTCAGTTCTCATGTTGTCTGTGACATCAGTTTGAAAGAAGAAAAAAGGCCCACATGCTGCATGTTCTCATAGTGACATCCACATCCCCTGATGGCTTTGTTTTCCTGTGTCTTGGGAAAACTGAAGGGCAAAGTGAGAGCATTCACTGTATATAGGCGGGAAAGTGCAACTTAAATCGAAGGGGTTTCTTTTGGTGAAGTTGCCTGGTAGGGTTGAAGACAAAGGGACTGAAAGCATTCTGCAACAAAAAAGGCCCATATTCACTGTTTTTCTCAGCTTTGATCTCCTTTTTTTAGTTAGAAGCCATATTTTATGAACTGTTTCTTTAAAAAAAAGACAAAACAGAAAAATTACATTAATCAGCCAAGAAAGCAAGGCATAGGAAGAATACCTTTATTTTAATTTATTTTTTCATAATTTTTAAAAGATTTTATTTATTTATCTTTAGACAGAAGAGAAGGGAGATAAAAAGAGAGGAAGAGAAACATCAATATGTGGTTGTCTCTCACATGCCCCCTACTATGTACCTGCCAGTAACCCAGGCATGTGCTCTTCCTGGGAATCAAACCAAGGACCCTTTGCTTCTCAGGCCAGCACTCAATCATCTGAGCCACACAAGCCAGGGTAGGGAAGAATACCTTTATTGCACACCTTCATTGCAGTGTTATTTACAATAGCCAAGATTTGGAGACAGCTCAAGTGTCCATCAGTAGATGAGCAGATAAAACAATTGTGTATTTACACAGCGGGATACTACGTGGCCATGAAAAAGATGATTTTTTACCCTTTGCAATAGTATGGATGGACCTAGAGAACATTATGCTAAATGAAATAAGCCAGTCAGAAAAAGAAAAATTTGACATGATTGCACTCATATGTGGAATCTAACAAACAAACTGAATTAACAAGCAGAATAGAGACAGACTTATTGAGAACAGGCTGACAGCTCTGGTTGGACTGGGTGGTGGAGATGTCTCACACACACAAAAAAAGAAAAAAGACTCATGGCTGTAGGCAACAGTGTGGTGGTGGGGAGAGGGTTTGGGATGGTGGAAGAAAGTGTAAGGGGGATAAATAGAAATGGAAAAAAACACCTTTAATCAGTTAAAAATAAAATGTAGATGCATTCTATGTAAAGGCAAGCTATCTAACATGGAGAAGAAAACTTAGGTAAATCTTAAAGTGGTTAGAAAAAGGCTCTTGATCCCTTGGTGGAATTAGAATATTATACATACATAAAGTGTATATATATATATATATTTATACATATATATGATATATATTATATATTCACACATATATATTTGCATTGGCAAAGTAAAGTATATATGTTTATATAAAGTGCATATATTTGCATTGGCAAACATGAGGATAGTCTATTTGAATCTTGGTGATTTGTGATATTGAATATCACTTGAGAAACATTGATATTAACTATCTTAAGGAAAGTAAGAATAAACTATTTCCATTATGTGTGCCTGTGAATATACTCTGTTGATAATACATGAAAAATTTGTTTTTCAGGACCTTTTTGCCCTTGATGTAGAACCCTACCGCTACAGTGGTGTTAACATGACAGGGTTCAGAATATTAAATACTGAAAATACACAAGTCTCCTCCATCATTGAAAAATGGTCAATGGAACGGTTGCAGGCACCTCCAAAACCCGATTCAGGTTTGCTGGATGGATTTATGACGGTATGAATACCCACTTAAAGATCAGTTTATGTGTTTTTCAGTAATATTGCATAACTTATTAAATCCTCTGGATTCAAACTTTGGCTTAATTGCTTGCCCTCAAAGGCATGATATCAGAACTACTATTAAAATAATTCTTTTAATAGTTTTCTAAATCAGTTTTTTATTGCAAATTTACACTTTTTATGGAAGTATCTTAAGAGGAATTTCTACCATCATTAGAGTACTACAATGTAGTGCCATATAGATGATACATTAGAGAGTGAAAAGGAGCCATTGTCTGAGAGTTTGCCTTCTGATTTTAACTACCAGTGTATGATTATTCTTTAACCTGCTGGTTTCTGATATGTGATGTCACATGGATGCCTTAGACCACATAAAAGTCTCCCTTAAGCTTACTCACTTTTAATACATTTATTGAATATTATGATAATATATTGTGTAAATATATTATTGTGTTAGTATAATGTATAAATAATATGATAGTATTTGTTAATAATAGCAAAAATGTTCAATATGCTTCAAAAAAATAAGCACCTAGCAAAAGCTCATGGAATAGATGTTGTTGTTAGAGAAATCCCTGGCACATGTCCTCTGGCTCCATACCCCATCCCTGAAAACCAGGCAAGAAAATCTGGAATAACAAATGAAATCTTCAGTGAGGTTCCTTTCACCAATAACAAGAACACAGTTTCCTACATGGCCTCATGGGAAAGTCAAACACAGACGCACTAAAAGGCCACAGGATTTCAGTACTTAGGAGTCTTGGTACATATTCAAAGTTAAAATAACTCCAACTTTTATAGCTATACATATTGTTTTAAAGGAACTTAATATGTTGTAAATTTTCATGTGTCTAGGAATTTATCCATTTTGTCCAGATTGTCCAATTTGTTGCCATATACTTGCTTGTACTGTTTTCTTACAATCTTTTGTATTTCTGTGGAGTCAATTATTAATTCTTCTCTTTCATTTCTGATTTTATTTATTTGGGTTCTCTTTTTTCTTTCTTTATAAGTCTGGTTAAAGTTTGTCGATCTTGTTTATCTTTTTAAAGAACCAGCTCTTGGTTTTCTTGATCTTTTGTGTTGTTGTTTTAGACTCTATTTTATTTATTTCTGCTCTGATTTTTATTATTTTCTTTCTTCTACTCACTTTGAGCTTTGTTTGTTGTTATTTTTCTAGTTCCTGAATGTATAAGGTTAGACTCTTTATTTGAAGTGTTTTTTGTTTCTTGAGGGAGGCCTGTAGTTTCCCTCTTAGGATTGCTTTCACTGTGTCCCATAGATTTGGGTTGTTGTGGTCTCATTTTCATTTGTTTCAAGGATTTATTTCTTGAATTCATGTTAACCCATTCATTGTTTAGTAACATGCTTCAGTCTTCTCAAATTTATTGAGACTCGTTTTGTGTCCTAGTATGTTCTCTGTCCTAGAAAATGTTCTATGTGAACTTGAAAAGAATGTATAATCTGCTGTTCTGAGTTGAAATGCTCTGAAGATATCAATTAAAATGATGTGATCTGGCCCTGGCTGGTGTAGCTCAGTGGGTTGAGTGTAGGATTGTGAACCAGAGTATCGCGGTTCAATTCCCAGTCAGGGCACATGCCTGGATTGTAGGCCAGTTCCCAGCTGGGGACACAGGAGAGGCAACCATACATTGATATTTCTCTCCTTCTCTCCTTCCCTTCCCCTCTAAAGATAAATAAATAAAATCTTTAAAAAATGATAAAATAAAATGATGTGATCTAGTGTATCATTTAAAGCTGCTGGTTCCTTATTGATTTTCTGTCTAGAACATCTTATCCATTGATGCTAATAGGATGTTAAAATCCTGTACTATGCTGGTATTTCTGTCGATCTCTTCCTTCCTGTCCATCAAGATTTTATTTACATATTTAGGAGCTCCTATTTAGGTGCATAAATGTTTATTAGGTTTATATCTTCTTGTTAGAGTGTTCCCTTTATCATTGTGTAGTGTCCTTCTTTGTCTCTTATTATAACTTTTAAAGTCTATTTTGTAACATATAGGTATTGGTATTCTGGCTTTTCATTTTCTTACTCACTTTTAGAGGCTCAAGACTAACCAAGAATCACACTTGTCATTTTCAAGTGCTAGTTTACACTTAGAAACTGGACTAATGCAGAAACTGTAAAAAAAAAAAAAGGATATATTCTTATGTATCTTTAGTTGTTTATACCATTCTGCCAATGAAATAAAAATCTAATGGAAGGCATATACTTAATTTTAAAGTTTTCAATAGCTATGTTAAATAACATATACAAATTAGGTAAAAATCAATGTTGTTAATTTATTGTTTGACCAATTTTATCAAAAATAACTATTATTTGAACAGGTAATCAATATAAAAGTTATGACTGAGATATTTGCCTTTTTTTTACTAAGTCTTTGAAATTTCGTGAGTATTTGACACCACAGCTATTCATTCGGACTACTCACATTTCAGGTATTCCATAGCCAAATGTAGCTAGTGATTTTCAGGACTTGATGGTTATAATATACTATTTAAACAAATTATAAATACCTGATGTATTCTCATTGGATCTATTTTCTATAGACTGAATTACCACTGTAATGTATAAAATAGTTCAGCACTTTGACAATGTTCACATTTCCTAGGTCATTCCTACCTGCTTTTTATGTGTCAGTTGCAGGTGGAAACTTTATAAGCATAAATACAGGGGTGGGAAAAAGAAGGTTAATGATAATACAATAATAAATGAATAAATAAATGCAAGAATAAACTTCTTTGAGTGCTCACAACTGTAACCCTACTTTGGCCCACACCTATATTCCTCTCTACTATTGTGTGGAAAATCTTCTCCTATTATGATTATAATTTTGTTCATTAATTGGTTCACTGGGTTTTCAGAATGTTTTTTAATGTTGTAGTGAAATAAAGGGAAATTTAAATTTTTTCTCCTAAAAGAAGAGTTAATGACATGAATTGAGTGGCTTATAGACACTGAGAAAATTGTCATCCTCAATCAACCAAATTTCTGATAGATACAATGACTTTTGTTCTCTCTTAGTGAGAAAAGTAACCTATCAGAGTTTGAAAATGCTTTATTTCCATAGTAATTTTTCTGAAGAAATTATAAGGGGAATTTTACTCTTCTGCATTAATTGAGAGGACAGATTAGTTCTGCTATTTTGGTTTTAATCTAAGGCATATTTGATAAATGTTTTTAGAGGGACAGTATATAAGTAACTTAAAAATAAAGATATTTTTCCTCTAAAGTATGTCCAGATTAAAAGTAATATACAGCCTAGAAAAAAATCACACATATTCTATTTTGTTTCCAGTTTGAAAATAGTGAGTTGAACTTCTAAATCTCAATAAGACAATGTCATTTTAAACAGTAAAGTGTATACTGTCCTTTAAATTGTTATTTGAATATGTGTATTTTTTCACGTATTCTTTCTAGCCTTTTTTACCCCTCTTTAGTTTCAGAGGTATTTGAATGGGTATTTTGTCATTTGTTATTCAAAATCATTACACATTGGTTTAGGAGAAGTAGGTCAATAGGCATCATTACAGTCTTAACACCTTTATCCTCTAGGACTTTCACTGATACGTCCAGGGATTGTTGTGCCCCTTTGTATATTTGAAGCACAAAAATCATCCAACTTGACTTGGTTCTCTTTGTATTTCCATATGATTCCCTGAAGTTAATTTAATGTCATCCCCTGAAACAAAGTACTCTCTGACTTCTGGTAACTTGTATAAACTGTTGGAAGATAGATAAATACAAAGGAAGGTGTATTCATTTCTTATCCTGGGACATAGTGACTCTTCGAGGGAATTATACTTAGAAGATGGTACTGTACAAAAAAGACAGGGATTTAGGAGGAATCGAAGTTGAGGTTCTTTCCTTCTAGCTATGATTCCACTCCTCCTCAGTCCTTCCCTTTCGCTGAACTGGCAGGTGATTTAGTGAGAGATAAGTGGTAGAGTAAATGTGCACTGGTAAGAAAATTAGACTATTGAAATCTATAGAAGAATTTTAAATGTCACCATTTTTTTCTTTGGCATGGCCATGAAATGCTTTTCAAGCGGCATCTTAAATAAGAAAAAATAAAGTTGTCACATATAAGAGATAATTACTTCTTCATTTATATATATTTTATTTGAGTTACTAAAAACTATAAATATTTAACCAAAAAAATTTACATGGGAACATTTTTTCAGTAAATAGGCTGAAGATAAACTTAATTGCATGAACACTTTTTGAATAATATTTCTTTTCCAAAAATGTATACTAGCTATTTATTCTATCATATTCATAAACCAAGCATGGAACAAAAAATATTTTTGGTAAAAGAGATGAAGTTTGCCATTAAAAATAAATATTTCTTCCCCCAAACATTTTGATTAATTAATTTTTATAATTTTTCTTTTGGGAAATTGATAATGTGCTTAAAATTTTATTATATAATATTATATGATGATATAAAAGATTATATGCAAGATATTTTTATGTGACAATAACTTTAATTACAAAATAGTGAATGAATATTGAAAAATAAAACCAGTAGCAAATCTGTATAAAAATATTGGCAGCCCTGACCAGTGTGGCTTTAGTGGTTGGATGTCATCCCCAAAGTGAAAGGCTGGTGGTTCAATTACCAGTCAGGGCACATGCCTGGGTCGCATCCTGGTCCCAGGTTGGAGCATGTCTGAGAGGCAACCGATCAGTGGTTCTCTCACACACTGATCTTTCTCCCTCTCTCTTTCACCCTCTGCTCCTTTCTCTCTAAAAACAAGTAAATACAATCTTTATTAAAAATGTTGGCATGCTTATGCCTTGCAGTAACATTCTTTTTCTTTCCATTTAAGATTATATTGTAAACATTCCTAGTTGTTAAATATTTAGAAAAAGAAATTAGTAGGCTATTTCCACCATAAGTGGCATCAGAAATTTAAGAGGATCTAATTAGAAAATAATAATAGGCTAGCATGGTGACATTGACAATGTTC